TAAACGGGTCGCCCATACAGCCACCTTGTCGGGGCCTGACTAAGAGTGGGCCTTCTGCTGCTTCAAATCGAATCAGGCTCTGCCGAAAGCGCTGCTTACAGATCTGATAATCCTCTGGCTTCGCATGAAGCTCAACAACTTGGTCCAATGTGTTGTGGTGTGTACTGCCGAATGCATTACTTAGATCTTTCAAACAAACTGCGTGCGTGAAACCTCCCTCCCGAAGTCGACGACTCATGAGTTGCGAACATAGAACCGCCTCCTCCCGACGACGCCCCTTGACGAACCCGTAGTCCATGACCGATGGTTCCCCACGCAATCGACGACCGAAGTACCCTTTACTAACTGTTGGAAGGATGTGAACCACTCGGCGTCCTCGGGGCCCCTTGAGGCTGGACTTGCGCAGTCCACAGGCAGAACTGGTGTGCCAATACAATGGGGTCTGCTGGTGCATCCTGATCTTTGCCAGGCCAACGTTCACCATGAACTGAAAAGTTAAAGTGCTCGGGGGCTCATCAGAGGCTCCAACCCCTGCAACTTGCGGGGCATCTTTTCTCTGCTTGGGCAAGAAGCACATGTGCCACAGTTCTAAAGGAGCGGTCCCAGGGGGAACCACTTTGCGCTTCTGTGCCCGAATTGTGTGCCAGAGAATCGCTGAATAATCTGCCTTTGCCAATTCAAAGAGCTCAGCATCAGGAAGCCATTGAAAGTGCCCCTCTTGATCCTCACGAAGAGCCTCCCACTCAACTTGCTGCACGGCCATACCACCTTCATGGCCTGGCAATGTCCAAACCTCGAGCCACTGGTGAGCAGGAAGAGGACCTGGCCGAATGAGTGCTCCATCTCGTTTTTTTGGGCCAATCCTCGTTCGTGCTGCCAGGCGTGTGATCCTCATGGCCTCCGCTGCGCGCCTCTGCTTCCACATCTCATTGGCTTCGTCCAAGAGCTGCCGTTGACGTCGACGTTGAAACTGCCTGCGGGCCATCTTCGACTGCTTGGTCAGTCTGGCCAGCTCTGCGTCGATCTGCTTTACCTCGTCCTCGCTGCCCTCGAACTTTCCTGCTCTGATCACTGTTCGCTGTTGTAACAAATATCGTCGATCAGCACAGTGTTGCGAATAGTCTTCGCATAGAGGCGGCCGCATAGCCGTGGTAAAAAACTTCTCACCTGCCGAAATCAAATGCCTTTCCAGCGTCTCGAAGATATCGTCTGGCGATGCACTCTCTTTAATGTATCTCGGGTCCACCGTCTGTAGTGAATCACGAACGTGTTCAAGAAACTCTCGCTTGTGGGTGCCTTTCTTGAGGGCCATCATAAGAGCGTCACGGTCCCATCGCAAGGCTGGTTCCGTTTTGACTTCAGGAGAATACTTAGCATAATTCATGACGCACACCAGTGGTAAGTGATCTCTGGGAGCCGCGCCACGTTGTAGTTGCAACTTAGCACCCAACTTCGGGATAGTCCCACAAGTGATGGTCATAGCGTCCATGTCCGCTGGATAACTGAGATAATCTATTCGCGAGCTGTATGTGTCGCCGAAGAAAGTCGGTGAGCTCCTTCCGCCCACCGTGTTGCCTGCTAGAAGCCTGCGTTCTTCCAGAACTGCTCGGAACAGTGCACCTGCTCCGTCCTCTGTGCGCTCCAGCGTCGGGATACCGATAGCACCTGAACGCAGATCCACACTGCCCGAGCCTCGCTTCTGTAAACCCATCCCATCATTCAAATCACAGAAAATAAAAGGTGTTGAACGTGTCGGTGTTTGAGCCAATATATCTTGAAGCCAGTCTCGCAAGATCCGTACCGTTCTGAAATAAGCTCGTTTTTTTTGGAGTCGCATATCTCGAGGCGGAAAGTAAAGAGAGACTAAAGTTAGATCTTGTCGTCCACGCTTGACCCGAACTGCAATCGCTCTCCCTCGCGCTTCCTGCGGGGAACACCAGCTGGCCACAATATGGTCCTCCTTCAGGCCCCCGCCTAGCACGATAGCGCATCCACAACTAGAGTTCGCGTGCGGGCTGGGCCCAAAAGGCGCCTCGAGAAGCAGTCGTCCTGCTACACGTCGTCGGAGTATCTGACTGCCTGTATGGTTCTGTCGGTAATCTACGGACTGCGTTCCAGCTAGAAGCACCGCGTCGAAATTCCGTAACTCTGTGACAATCTCCTCCTGCCTCGCGCCCGTGCAGCTCTGCGGGTTCCAGCCCAGGATTCTCAATCTATGCATCCACGCTGAACCGCATCTGCGTATCTGGTCAAAGAAACGCTCTGGCAGGAGGCAAATCTGGGTGGGCAGCTGACCCACTTGCAATCATAAACTCGAGCCGACAGGGCTCCCAGGAATGCTCCAAGAGGGTCCCAAGGCGGCACCAGAGCAGCCCTGAGCCCAGACCCCGTCGAGTCGTATACAGATCACGACGGGAGGCTTTTCGCTATTTTCGGCCTCTGGGGGCCCTTCCCAGGCCTCGGGACCGTCAAAACACGACTCAGGGACGAAAAACCGGGAAGTGGTCCAGACCTCCAGGGGCCACGCATCAAAAGAAATTGGCGCAGCCAGATGTCTAGGCGGGCCTCCTCGCACGAAGTCCTCACACGAGCCGGCCTGGCGAACGCAGCAGACGCAGCGCCCCCTTTGGCAGAACGGGGGTGGGCAGAACCCCCTTTGGCAAAATGGCCTTCAGCGAAAATGGCCTCCACCGAAAACGACACGGAGCCAGACCCGGCAGGTGCAGGCCCGCAAGCATTGCGGCAACAGCACCCTCTCGAGGGTCGGGAAAGAGCAATCCGCGAATCGCCTGCGGGATCGCCCGAGTGGTCGCTATCTGAGATCGCTGCGGCTTCCCTTCCTAGACACGTCATGACAAAAGTGCGACGAAAGGTTTTTGGCTTATTTCGGCCTCCACGGGCCCTTGCTGGGCCCCATGACTGTCAGAAAACGACTCGGGACGAAAAGCTGGTCTGGGGGCAAGGGCCTAGACCTCTGGAGGTTCCACGTTGCAGCAAATACGACGTCGGGGTCTGGAAGGGCACCTCCAACAAAAACAATCACGTTGACACTCCCACGCAACAGAAACAATACGCCTGCAAACCGTGACGGGACCGGAGGAGCAGCTTGCACGGCCTCCTCGCCTGCTGGGTACGCTTCGGCCAACCGCGGGCCGGATCTCCAAGCTGACCTGGCAGGAAGATCGCTACGGAGTGGTCTACAATAGCAGCATCAGTGGGTAGCGGCTGGGATGACCCATCCTGGGCTGACGACTTCGTATTCGTCGACCTCTTCTCACACTCTGCAAGGCGATAGTGCCATGGACACTGGGAAGGCGCGCCTCGCGCACAGGCTTGATGGCCCCCCTCTTCTTGAGCCGAGGCTGGACTCGTTGCTGCTAGGATGCTTTGATGGGGCAACTCTCTGTTTTTGTGATTGCGTGGGCAATCACCCTGAGGCCATCGCGCGTGTTCTTGTCGAGGAAACACGCTGGGATAATTCTGGACCTTCTCGGAGCCGTCCTGAACCTATCGGGGAAATATTGCGATGCTGTTCTGCCATCTCTGGGGTCGCCTTGGGCTGTTTGGAGGTCGGCTCGGGCGGCCCGTCTTGGATCAGTCTTGGGGACACACAGCCTGCCTCCGAACCGGTTTGGGGTGGCTGACTCGGGTCTGTCCTGACGTCGTCGTGTGCTATTCGGATCTATTCGGGGCCATCCTGGGACAATACCGTTCTGGGATGGCCGATTCGGATATGTTCGGACGTTGTCGTGTGCCAGTGGGGGGCATCCTGGGAGAGTGCACCATCACGAAGGGCTGCCAGAACTGGCAGGGCGGGCGGCATACTCGTGGACCCTCTTCGACAAGCGACGCGGCCCTTGCCTGATGGGCGATGTATATCACGAATTCCGCCCTTGCCTGATGGGTCGATTCGCAACTTTTCCCGCGATACTCAAGTTCGGCATTGCCGCCCCTCTTCCCCGACCAAATCTGCATCGGCCGTGGATAAGAGAAACACTCAATGGGGAAAAGGGGGGTTACAGTCGGACTCCATCGGACAGGACACGCGAGAGGACACCAGACCCTTCCGAGGGCCACATTGCCACAGGAATGCAGGAGGCACGGGTCGCGAGACACAGGACACAAAAGTACCCTTGATTTGGCAGGGTCGACCTACTAATCCGGGCCGACTGTAATGATTATCAGGGGGATGCGGTTAACCTTGTGTCGCTCGACTCCGGCTGGACCCGCCGCCGGGACCCTGCCCAACCCTTGCCCAGAGACGCCCAGCCCCGTCGCAGCCCACCTCGCTCAATCTGGGCAAGGGTTAGGTTGTTCCCATCGTACTTAAGGACAGTCCCAGAAATAACTTCAAGCACCCAGAAAAGTATCCACATGCGTCCCCCGCACCCATTTCGGCACACCCCTCACACATTTTGCGGCCCCATGAGCTCCACCGAAGGCCCCAATGCCACCGTCCACTTGCGCTCCTCACACCAATGCCGGCACACCGCTCACATGTTCCGTCGATTAACGAGATTCCCACTGTCTCTATCTATCATCTAGCGAAACCACAGCCAGTTACGAACGAGTATCGCCTCCCAGAGTGCGACATGTGAAAACCCTGCAGTTTCGGTGCTTGCTTGGTGCTCGAAGCTCTTCCTGGTGATTCAGGCTAAAGCAGGCTGGGACACCGTAAGGCAAGGCTTCACACTCCCAACCGCAAGAAGCTGTGCAAATCCTGCCTCCGCGGGGGCCTGCGCAGCCGAAGACATCGTCAGGCGCGTGACTGTCCGCGGGACGTCGCTTACCATGTCGGATTGTTTTTGTTGACGGTCCCAGGGCCAGGCAAGGGGGCCCCCGGAGGCCGAGATCGGCCGAGGAGCTCCCGCCATGCCCCTGTCCGCGACGCGAGCCTGTCTGGGCAGCGCCCATGCAGGCGGACCGTGGCTGCAGTCAGCCCGACTCGGGCATCGCGGCATCTCGAAGCTCGCGGAGCAGGGCGGTCCCGCCCAGAGCGCCTCTCCGCCGGCGTCGCGCTGAGCGCGCAGCTCGGCGAGCAGCAGCCGCAGAGAAGCGTAGGGCTTGGGCTCCACCATCAGCTGGAAGCAGATGCCTGGTCTTGGCAGGGCTTCGGGTTGCGCTCAGACAGCCCCCCCAGGTAGTCCCAGCTGGCCTCAACAGGGCCCTGTTGAGGCCAGCTGGGACTACCTGGGGGGGCTGTCTGTGCACAACCCGAAGCCTTCCCATGCCTGATCTGCCCCTCCCGACCTCGGCTGACGATCCCGTCTCTCGGCGCCTCGCTGCGCCTTCGACGGTCCCAGACACGCGCGCGCCGTGAACAAAACCACGACGGGAAATTGCTGCCCCTTTCCAGCTTCCGGGGGCCCTTGCTTGTTGGGCCCAGGGACCGTCGAACAGCAGCTTGGGATGAACAACTGGCGCTGGAGAAAGGTCGGGACTCTCGGGGAGCCCGCATCGAACAAAAAAAATCAAGACATCGCATCGCCGGGGTCCCGACCGCCGACCGCGCAAGGGCAACGACGGCCTCCCCCTTGCTCGCGCGCCGGCCCGCTCGCCCGCCCGAGCACGCGCCGCAGCCGCCCAGCCCCACGCACATGCAGAGCGCTGATTCACTCAGGCGCCCACCGGATCTCTCACTCATTCGCTCCCCAACCGCGCAGGGCCCGCGGTGCGGACCACCAACGACGAAGACAGGATGGCGCACTGTGGTGTCCGATGGACGATTGGTGGCGGCGGCAGGATGAAGCTTTTGGCTATGCCAGCTTGGGCGCTACCGATACCTGGGGCGGGTCAGAAAGACCCGCGCTTGCACTGCCCAGAATGAAAGACAAGACAGGGGCGCCCTCCGACACAACGGCGATGCCGAGCGGAGCGTCTCTGGATGCCCTGAGCGCAACGGCGCCCATCTCCAGTGAATGGGACGCGCAAGCGCACATTAATCCTTACCGCTCCCTTGGCTGGATATACTGTCAGTGTCAGGTGGCGGTTCCTAGACTGCCAGGCTTGAAATGCTTTTGACAGCCGCCGCCGAACTTCTGCCAACTCCCGCAAGAGACTGCTTTACTGCTGCTGGCCTCCGCGTGCCTTCCGCCAGCTTGTGCCGGGGTGGCAATGACACCCCCCCGCCACTCGAGAAGAGGCGCCTCCCGGAGTGAGCCGCGCCAGAGGCGAGCAACGCATCCCGCGCTACTCCCACGGCGCAGCCGGGCCGTCTGGCTTGGCTGACCTGGCACGTGGCCTCACGCCTCGGGCCGCCTCTGCCGCTCCGGCATCATCACAGTGAACGCGCGCGGCACCACCTCTGGACGCTTTTCAATGGGAACGACCGCCTGTGGGATGTCCCAGTGCGGGTGTATGGCGCCGGGATACACGTACAAACGCCGAAGCCAATTCGGCCGTAACAGGTTCTTCGGCAGCATTCCCTTCACGGCCCGGCTCAGAATGATCCCAGGGTTCAGCATCATCAAGCGCGTTGCCGTGATGATTTTCGGACCTCGTGGGTCGGTGAACCTGTTCCTGTAGAACCGATATATCTTAGTGTCCCAGGTGTGGCCAGGGAACTGCACGTTGATCGCGTTTACCACGATCACAGAGTCCCCAGTCACTTGGTGCTGCTGGTAGTCGCGGCGGTGCTTCCCCTGCAGGAGCCTGGTCAACAATTGAACACACACCCACCAGCCTGAACTAAGTCGGGTTTAATATACCGCTTACGTCTTTAGCATTCACGTGCCAACATGTTTTATATATTAAAGCTATGTGTTCCTGAATGTCTACCATTTCTCATTGGGTGCGGGGGGTGCTTTCAATTGCGTACCTTGAGCAGAACGCGGCAAGCTTCCCGACATTGCGGTTCTTGGCGTCAATGATATGCCACCAACCTCGATCGTCCTTGTGGCTCACAGCCCGCAATGTCTTGTGCGGCTTGGCATCAGGCGCCACCTTCGGCATGTTGTACTCCGGGTATGGTGTGGACGTCCATTGGTACTCCGCGAAGGGGTTGATGACCTTGGCATCCCGGAAACTCTGCCACGTCCGAGATGGATCGATTCTCCGTTTCTTCCGCATGCATCGCTGAACGCTCCGAAACATTACCTCCTCGCGTTCGCCAGATAACGGCGTGGGCGGGCCGAATAAAGGGCGCGGGCCATGGGGGTAAAGCCCAGCTCCTCCTCGCTGGGACTGCACACACTTGAGCACAACGACATCAAATAGTGGATGTAAAGATGCGATTCGATCTGGGCGTCGTGGACAACAGGGCAGGCCGCCGTGACCAAAATTAGCCTGGCGAAGAACCGAACCAGATGCAGTCGTGAGTACCGCAGTTGTGGGTATCCCTTCTGTGGAGCTCCCTCTGGGGTCGTGAATCGCTGTACTGCGTGGGGGAACCGCCTGCGGACTGCGCCACTGGGACCTCCAGTGGAGCTCCCTATGGGGCCACGGAGCGCTGTACAGGGTGGGGGAACCGCATGCGGACTGCGCAGGAACCGCATGCGAATTCCGCCACTGGGACCGTCGGTGGAGCTCCCTATGGGGCCACGAAGCGAGGGAACCGCATGCGTGTTCTGCCACTGGGACCTTCGGTGGAGCTCCCTATGGGGCCACGAAGCGCTGTACTGGGTGGGGGAGCCGCATGCGAACTGCGCCACTGGGACCTTCGGTGGAGCTCCCTATGGGGGGCCGCGGAGCGTTGTACTGGGTGGGGGAGGTGGATCTCCCTATGGGGCCACGAAGCGCTGTACTGGGTGGGGGAACCGCATGCGAACTGCGCCTCTGGGACCTTTTTTGAAGCTCCCTCTTGGGCCACGAAGCGCTGCACCAGGTGGGGGAACCGTTTGCGGACTGCGCCACTGGGACCTTCGGTGAAGCTCCCTCTGGCCACGAAACGCTGCACTGCGTGGGGGAACCGCATGCGGACTGCGCCACTGTGACCCTCCCTTCGGTGGAGCTCCCTATGGGGCCACGAAGCGCTGTACTGGGTGGGGGAACCGCATACGAATTCCGCCACTGGGACCTTCGGTGGAGCTCCCCATGGGGCCACGAAGCAAGGGAACCGCATGCGTGTTCCGCCACTGGGGCCTTCGGTGGAGCTCCCTATGGGGCCATGAAGCGCTGTACTGGGTGGGGGAGCCGCATGAGAACTGCGCCACTGGGACCTTCGGTGGAGCTCCCTATGGGGCCGCGGAGCGTTGTACTGGGTGGGAGAACAGGATGCGGACTGCGCCACTGGGACCTTCGGTGGAGCTCCCTATGGGGCCACGAAGCGCTGTACTGGGCGGGGGAACCGCATGCGGACTGCGCCACTGGGACCCTTCGGAGGAGCTCTCTCTCGGGCCACGAAACGCTGTACCGGTTGTGGGAACCGCATGCGGACTGCGCCACTGTGACCCTTCAGTGGACCTCCCTATGGGGCCACGAAGCGCTGTACTGTGTGGGGGAACCGCATGCGAACTGCGCCACTGGGACCCTTCGGTGGAGCTCCCCATGGGGCCACGAAACGCTCTACTGGGTGGGGGAACCGCATGCGGACCGCGCCACTGGGACCGTCGTTGGAGCCCCCTTCTGGGGCCACGAAATGGTGTACTGGGCGGGGGAGACGCATGCGAACTGCAGAGGAGGGAGGAGGGAGGAGAGGGAGGAGGAGAGGAAGGAAGGAACGCGGGGCGCTGTCCTTTCAAAGCGAGGACGCAACACTACAGGGTGGTTTGGAAATATGAGCACCAAGTCCGCGCATGGATGAATGAAGGTATGCGCGACCCATGTACTTGAGTGTGTGTTTGTGTACGCATGCTCGCCGGCAAATCGTCGTAGTATCAAGCACTTGTCTACTAACACCACGCACTAGATGCAGACAAGGAGCTGCACGGGGTTGCAATTCACTTGGTACTGGTCGCGCCAACGAGAGTCTTTCGAATCATGGCATTCGAGTTTCTCTGGCTCAAAGCCTGTTTTAGTCATATCATGCATGACGCGCACGGCACTACAATGCAGCTCTTGCGTTGCAACCCGTTCATACAATCAACCACGGATATGGATTAACACCACAGTGCCTACCAACGTAAACACATAACGAGCAACGTTGCTGTACGTACACAATGCTGGGGTAAGGTTGGTGCAGTACAGAAGTGCAGCATGCTGCACACTAAATTTGCAACCCTAACTTTATGCACAACACAATAAACCAACACCACCGTATGACACGTCAGGGAATTGAGCCCGCTGGGCATATACGTATAGCCCACAACTGTGCGGAAATGGACCAGAAGTTGAAGTACGGTCTGGAATGGCCGGTCTGGTGAAGCAGGCTCGGGTAGGGTGGGGCAAGGAAACGTGCGGCCAGGTCAGGCAAGGTCGGTAGGGCATGATATGGTAGGGCTGGTCAGAACAAATTCCAAAAACGTCCCATCAACCGCGCACTCCTGGATCATACAGGGATGCCCCCTTTAAGACCTGAGAGCTGAGAGTTGAACATCCTGGGCCTAAACAGAGTTGGTCGGGGGAGAGGGGCGGCGAGGCCAAACTTCATTATCGCCGGGGGAAGTACGAATCGAAGTTGCGATTCTCTCGTGTTGAGTAGCAACACTACCACAAACGTGTGGCACTGAAATGGGATTCACACCATTTCAGATTTCCTAACTCACGAACGTGTGGCAGGGCGATGGGATTCTCACAATCTCATGTTTCCAAGTCGCGAACGTGTGGCAGGGCTGTGAGATTCTCACCAGTTCAGCTTTCCCAAGCACAAGGACACCCCTAGGACTCTGACGAGAGACGCCGAGGTGCTGGGTGGAGACCGAGAGTCTCGAGGCCGTAATTTCAGTCGAGAACTCCTGCCAGAGCGAGTGGCGCACGAACGTCTCGAGCCACCGGCCCTCCCGAAGAAAATCGCCACGCACGAGGGAGTCCCGCTCCTGCCATCCCCCCAGATACTCCTACTCCCCCACAAGGTATCGCTACACCATGCTAACATACCATCGTGCATACGAGTTGCCGGAACGAGCAATCTGTTATCCCCCCCAAACCCCGAACTTTATCATCCCCACCCTGTGACCACAAGGGGTCTTCGGTTAGTGTCATATGGGGTGTTCCCAAAACGAAGGTTGAAGGCCCCTTTTTTGGACCCAACCTCCCCCCCCCTGGTGGATGGCGTAATCGTCAAACTGTGCTGGTGATAAGCGAGTCTGTGCTCTACATGCGCAGTCTAGCGCCTACAACCACCTGCTAAATTCAAAGCAAACTTTTCAGACCCCCCCCCCCCACGTATCCCTAACGCCACTGTTCAGTGGCGCACGGGGGCGGCGCAGTCTGCAGGTTCCGAGTGGAAGCCAGAAGTGTTCAATGTTGGTGCGCACCATGAAGATGGGAGGCAAATGGTTCATGGGTGCCAGCGTGGTGTCGGAAACAACTTCCTGTGGGCTTCGCGGAGGGGCGCAAGAGCCGAATCGTTCAAGCAGCACGTGCCTTTCACCTGCTCCAGCTGTGACGACACTCTCTTATCAGCACAAGCCTGCATCAGCTGGCCAGATACGGCTGCGGGATGCCCACGCGTGGTGAACACATCCATGCCCACGTCCTCGCGGCTTGGATTCCGGGGCGCGATCCCGCGGGTATGCGGTCGCATGGATACGCCCTGCGCGGCACAGGAGTCGAGCCCACGAGGCGGTGGATATTAGATATCATGCTTATCGGTCGGAAGAAGTAGGTAGAAACATGAAGTAGGAAGGCGTTGAAGGTAGATTGGGCTCCGTCCGCCCCCTTGGGCGGACGGACTCGATCAATGAATTACGAAGGCGCTCAAAGCAGTTTGGAATGTGGGACTCCAAAAGTACCTACTTTCAACGACTGCTGGCCATCGCTCGGACGTCCATTCCGTGTGCTTTTTTCCGGTTTCGTGCGTGGCTTCTTCGCCGAAGGATCAAGGAGGCTCCTCGATGGCCCTCGCCGAAGGAACAATGCACACGTCCGAGCGGTGCCGAGACGGATGAGTCTGCGCGGGGGCCTGAACTCTCGGCGTCGGGCACTGTTCGCGGGAGAGGGGACACGCGATCGCCTCGGGGCCCCGCCCAGGCCCCGGACCTGGCCGAGAGCGGCACAGGCCCCCCCGACACACGCCGACCGCGGCACCGCCCACACGGAGCTGCGTCGGCACGCACTCGGGTCGGGCGAAAGGGGGGGATGGCAAAGGTCGGCGGTGGACAAACCTCCCTTTAGTAAACCTCCCCTTAGTGACAACGGCATGGGACCGAAACCGACGGACCTGGACCCGCAAAAATGACGGCCGCGACGCCCTCTCGCGAACCGAAAACGGCCAATTCCTCAACCGACGTGTCAGGGTAGGAGGTCTGTCAACCTCCGAAAAGGGGGGGTTTGAGAATCAGCTCACGCAGCTGATTTTCCCGGCGCCTCCCGGCGCCAGAGGCGGCTACGTATCGAGGAATGGGCCCATCGGTGAGGCCGAAGCCAGCTGCATGCAGCAAATTTCGTACCACCCCCTTTCCCACTCCCCCCCTTTCGTCCGCCCCGACGAGCATGTTGGACCGCGCCCAGATGTTTTCTGCCCGCGAGGTGCTGCAGTAGGGACCTGACCACATGAAATCTTCCACGAAAAATCCAACCCATAGACCTCAGGACGTCCATCGAGTTTGGTGTGGGAGCGTCGCGCTCTCCATGGCAAAACCGTCGAAACCCAAGAAACCCAGGGCACCCTGGAGACAAGCATGGTGTTTCTTGGCATGGGTGGCCACTGTAGATATCTGCCTCTGCTTGTGTCGGTGCTCACTTGGCCCGAGGCATGTGTGTGGATGATAAAGAAAAAATCAAGAAAATCCAATGAGATGTCATTGCCCCCGCCATGATATCCCCGCCCCCTGTCGCCCGCTCCCCCCTGCCCGCCCCCAGTGTTTTTCACAACCCGAGGTGTCTGGCCCCCGAAGCCCGGAACCCTCTGGAGCGCGTTCTCGCCAGGACTGCCAGCGGGAACCCAGCCGTGGCAGCGAGGTCCCAGGAGGCGAAAAACGCACCAAAAGTCTCGAGGATCGAACTTCGAGAACCGGTGTTCCCTCCTTAGTCGTCACCCCCTCTTGGACGCCCGCGACTTGTGGTTCTTGCCCCTGCACGTGCTGCTGGAGCTCGATCCTGGACACTGCGCGCGGCTGCTCCGGGGTCCCAAAACCGTGTGTGGTGACACACCGCGCGGTGACCTCAGAATCCCAAGAGACCTCATCGCACGGTCCGTCACCGCGCGGTGTTTGGGACCCTGGGGGCCCAAGTCGCCCGAGACGCCCTCGGAAAACGACCCAGGTCCCAAAACCGTGTGGTGAACCCGAGTCGCAGACCACCGACGTCATGCTTCTCAGTGTCGAGCCCTGGAGGTCTCGACCCATTCCCAGTCCCTGGGACCGGCTTGCCATCCCGAGTCATGTTCGGCTGACAGCCCCTGGGCCGGGCGAGGGCCCCGCAGAAGCCGAAGACGGCAAAGCACCGCCCATCGCCCCTCTTCACGGCCGGGGGGGCCTGGGCGCCCCACCGGCCCCGGGGCCAGGCGAGGGCCCCGCAGAGGCCGAAGATGGCAAAGCAACTGTCATCGTGCCTTTTTATGGCCCGAAGGGGTCCTGGGAGCCCCCCCGGCTCGCCACACGGTGCGGCCACCGCGCTGCATGGGGGGGCCCCCGCCCGCCCGCTGCTGCGCTGCTGCGCCTGCTCGTGCCGAGGGGCAGCGCGCCCGCGGCCTCGGCTTGTGCCCGCGTGTGTGACTGCAGCGGGGAGCGCGACGACCCCAGCCCCAGACTTTGCGGGGGGGCCTTCGAGTGGGCACAAGATCTGAGCCCAACTCGGGGATACACCGTCAAAACTCATCATGTGGATGCGCGGTGAGGATGCAAGGGCCTTGGAGGCCCATGTGAACGTTTTTGTCGAACGAGGCTGGCCAGCGAACGTCGCGAAGGATGGGCCAGAGGGGCAAGGATGCAAGGGTACCCTTGGGAAGGTTGTCCATCCTTACTATGCGGGTTGACTGCACGTGGTGGGGGGCGTCCATACTCCCGATGGGAGGTGCGTCCGAATAGCCGCCCGGGGGCGCACCCCCAGAGTTCCCTCACCTCTTCTGAGCGGCCCAACTTTTCGGGCGGAATCCAAAACTGTGGGAGACAAATCGTCTGCGAGATCGGACGGTCTTGTCAATCCTGTCTAGGACGCTACTCTTTGCAAGACTCATGTCTCCAATGATGTGATTTCTTCTCCGAGAACGATTAGAACTGCTGGCTTTCCAACTGATGGCAAGGAGACTCCACCAAGCAGAAACTGCTTCGCATCCGCCCTCGGCTGCCGAGCCAGCCGAAAACAACATGTGCAACGAAACTGTCTCCAATGATGTGTTTCGTGACACACAACACATGCCTCCAATGATGTGATTGATGTCCACACACTATCCCTCGACTTCGGCTTCCGGGGCCCGGTACTGGAACCATGAACAATTTATACGGGACGAGAAGTTGTCCCCTGGGATGGGGTCGGGCCCACTGTGCCGCGCATGGAAAACCCGTATCGTCGGGGGCTGCTGCCTCTAGCTTGTAGCCGCTGCAGGCCACGTGAGGACCTGTAACGGCCTGAGCGTACCCTCCTCCCCCATCCCTGTGCCTCCTCGCGGTCGCCAATTCCTCCCCTGGCAATCCCTCTGTGTGCACTTCGCCTCTTTGCGTCCCGCTGAGGCTCCATCCACGCCGTGCGGTCTCCGGCGCCGCGATAAAAAGGTGTCTGGACGGCCGAGCTGGTCAGTACATCCACAGGCCCACAGCAGGCGAGAATGGCCTTTCCGCATTAGACCATGTTTTCAAATCAAAACCAGCATCCAATGACTTCAGGACGTGGGGCCGAACAAAAACATCAGGCAAGCCAGGAATGCCGCAAAAGACCGCGGCGAGAGTGAGCGCGCGGAAGGAATAATGAGAACAAGCAGGGAAGACAGCGGACGGCAAGTAGGAGGCAGCAGAGAAGCACTGATAGTTACATTATGACTGCTTGCTTCACGTGATCTGTCGCACCCGTATCTCATCGTGCCTCTCGTCTTCTCCCTGCGCGCCTTCGAGCACACAGATCTCCGAGTCCACTACCTTTCCCTGCATGGCACGGTCAGACCCCAGGTCCGCAGCAGCCAGCAACTTCTCCAGAGTAATGTGATGTTCCTCCGCTTGTAAAGCGCCACCACGTGAGAAACAGGAAAGGCAATACTGGGTTTGTGAGTGCAGGGCAGGAGCCATAGCCATGTGCAACTGCTGCGTAAACAACTCCACCCGACAGGCCAACTAACGCATACAGAGACCGCGGAGAAAATAAACACAGACAGGAGGCGAGAGTGATATAGAGGTAATGGGAGAGTGCCATAGGAGAGAGAGAGAGAGAGAGGGAGAGAGGGAGAGAGAGAGAGAGAGAAACAAAAAAAAGAGAAGGAGATAACATTAGAGAGAGAGATGGGGGAGAGGGAAAGAGAGAGAGCGAGAGAGAATTAAGAGAAGGAGAGAGAGGGATAACTAAAACAATCATATGTTACACCTGGCGCTCAGCATTGAAGTTCGAATACTGAAATTATACCATACATACAAGCATATACATCGACCTATCAGCATTATATATACATGTATACGGATACACGAGTATATTGATACGTGTGTATATACATGCATGTATACACGTCGGTATATCAAACGAGCCTGACCGATGAAACGACAGCGTGGACAACCGATACGAACACAAACCACACCCGCAAGCGACCGACACCTCTGCTCTGCCTCCGCGGGCTCCTCCTCCACCTTGCAGGCCAAATGCACGCACGCGAACATAGCGGGCAACGGGTCGTGCTCCATGGGCGAGCAGACCGCAAAGAAGCGCCTCGGCGCGGGCGCGGGCGCAGGCCCCCCCCCGACTCGGGCGTTGGCGGGACATGGGTACAGTGGGACCTGGCTCAGTCATGTGCATCGGCCCCCCCCCAACTCGGGCGTTGGCGGGACTGGGTTCTGGGGAACCTGGCATTTCGTCACGTGTACCAGGGGGGCCCCCCCCGCCCCATTCCATCACCAGAGCTGCCGCCACGTCAAGAAAACCTTAGCTAGTACGTTCTGGCGGCGTCGGCGCGCGCAAAGGTTCTCTGACACCGCGTCGACCGTTCAAGCTTGATACGATGGCGGCCCCGACCGTAAGTTGAACTCAGTCAAGTCCGGTGGCGTTACCGTGTCCGTCGGAGCTTCCGCGTCGCAGAATTCAACCTTGAACGCCTTCGCTGGCGTCGCCGGCGCGCCAACGCCGCACGAACCTACCGTACGGCAGGCTTGGCTTAGAGACTCTGGCCAATCTACTTGGCTTCGGGAACAATCCCGGTAGCAAGGCGAACCCGAACAACTGTTCGAGGCGAAAGCTGACAATCCAGAGCGAAACCCGAAAATCGAAAAGAAGCGAAACCCAAACAAAAATCTGAGTGGGGCCAAACCCGAAAATCCGAGTGGGGCCAAACCCAACACTCCAATTCAGACCAGCCTACCCTCGCCCAGCAGACCCGCGATGCCGAGCGGCCAGGCTGCTAGGCCCGCTGCAGAAGAGGACGGAGCCACAAACTGGACTCGGACAACCTTAACCGATTCGTCCAGGGGAAGAACAGCCGAAAATGATGACAAGCGGATGCAGTCAAGAGGTCCGTGAAAACGCATGCCTGCGAAAATACATACTTCGGGAGCACAGAACAGACAGGAGCTGCACGATAACAAGCAGCTCGGCAACAGAAAGAGCGAGGGAAAATGAACGGCAGCAGGAGGAGAATCAAGCACAGAAGCAGCAGCAAGAGAAGCCTTAACACGCCAACCACTGTATCATCCTGAGGAGCACCACCATACGCAACCACCGACCGTCTCCTCCCGCGTGCACGCTCCCCCTCCGTCTCCCTCCTCCCTCACTCGCTCCCCCGAGGCGGCCACCAAACCGAGCCCAGGCGATCAGGCGCGTGGCAGGAAAACTCCTTCCCCATCACCCTTCCCCTCCTCTACTGAGCCGGCGAATTCCTTCCTCCTCCACGTCCGCTTCCTGCCCCTCTTCCACCACTGTGCCGACGATATCCTCACCCCAGGGAGTCCTGAGAACCTTCTTCTCCTCCTCCTGCTCCTCATTCTCCTCATCTCCCCCCTTAGGATGTTCAAGCTGAAATCCCGGCGTCAATTCTTTCCCTTTGGCGCAGTCGCAAAATGCTTTGCATTGCATTGCACGGCGCTCCTCTTCCTCCTTCCGCCACCCTCCTCCCCCGCCTCGTTCGTCCTCCACCTCTCATCCTCGCTTGTCCCCGTCCTCCTCATTCTTCATCCGATCCTCCCACCTCCACCTCCTCCACCTCCTCGCTCGTCATCCCACGCCTCCTACCCTCATTTCCTCAATCATCCCTCCTCCCACATCCCTCCTCCTTCGGCCTCTTGACTCCTCTCCCTTCTCCTCCCTCCTCCCTCCTGCCTCCTCCCCAATTGCTCCCCCCGCTCTCTTCTCGTTCCGCACTCCTCTTCCCTCTCTCTGCTCGGCACGCGGCAACTCCTGCGGAGCCGAAAATAAAACGATTCCACTGTACTCGCCAAGTGGGAAACGCCTGGATAGCGAAACATGTGCTACTCCAGTGGCAACGCCTGCGGGACGTATACCATTCCACGCGAGCTGGCGGCGGAAGCGGCTGGGGAGCGAACCACAAACTACTACACTCCACGACTCGCCACGTGGCAACGACTGGGAGGCGGAACACATATTTGTTCACTCTACTCGCCACGTGGCAACACCGGGGGAGCGAACTAAATACTGCTCTACTCTCCTTGCCAGGAGGCAACGCTCGGAGGGGGGAAAACATCACTGTACTCATCACGTGGCAGCGCCTGCGGGGCGAAACAGAATTACTCCACTCTATTCGGTGCGTGGCAGTGGAGCGGGGCGGCAACCAATGCTACTCCACTCTACTCGCACCATGGCCACGCCACATGGCAAGGCCTGAGAGGTAAGTAAAAATGCTATCCCACTCCACTCGCCACGCGGCAACCACATAGGGAACGAACAATGAGTATACATCCACTCAACTCATCACGTGGCAATGCCGTGCGGGCCGAACATCTACAATCCAACTCTACTCGCTACGTGGCAACGCCCGGGGGAGCGAAAACAAACATTCCATTCGATTCGCCATGTGGCAACGCCGCGGGGCGGGAACAAATACACCTCCACTCTATTCGCAACGGGGCAACGAAAGGCTGGTGAACCAACTACCATAGAACTTCGCGTGCAATGTCAACAGACCGCACAGCGAAACATACTTACTCTATTGCACTCGACTTGGCAACGCCGCGGAGGCCCAAACCAACATTTACTCGGCACGTGGCGACGGACAACGAGGTGAACCCCAACGCGGACGGCGACGACCACGACGACGACGACGCCAACGACGACATCGACGGCTACGACGACGACGACGACAACGACGACAACGATGACGACTACGATGACGACGACGAGGACGACGACAAGGATGACGACGACGACGACGGACAACGATGACGGCGACGGGCGACGATGACGACAACGACGACAACAAACGCGACGACGACACGACGACGACGACAACGAAACTGACAACGACAATGACGATAATGTCGACGACGACGACGACGACGCCCGCTCGCCCGCCCGCCCGCGCGCGCGCGCCACGTGGCAGCGCCTGCGGGGAGCGGAACAATCAGTGCTCCACTCTCCTTGCCACGTTGCAGCGAGACGGGCCGGGAATCCGTGCTACCCCACTCTACTCGCACCATAACCACGCCGCATGGCAAGGCCTGAGAGGTAAACAAAAATGCTACCCCACTCCACTTGCCACGTGGCAGCGACATGGGGAACGAACAATGAGTATACATCCGCTCAACTCATCACACGGCAATGCCGCGCGGGCCGAACATATACACTCCCACTCTACTCGCTACGTGGCAACGCCGCGGGGGAGCGAAAACAAACATTCCATTCGATTCGCCACGTGGCAACGCCGCGTACAATGCAACTTTGCGCTCAATGTTGACAAACCCCACAGCGAAACATAATTACTCTACTGCACTCGACTTGGCAACGCCGCGGAGGCCCAAACCAACATTTACTCGGCACGTGGCGACGGACGACGAGGTGAACTCCAACGCGGACGAAGACGACGGCGAAGACGACGACGACGCCAACGACGCGAGCGACGACGACAACGACGAAGACGACGACGACGACGACGACGACGACGACGGCGGGCGGCGGCGGCGACAACGACGACGGACGACAATGACGACGACGACGCCGACGACGACAATGACGGACACCGTGGGAGGAGAGGAGGGAGAATTGAGGCGGAAGGATACCTCCAAAAATCCGGAACGCGCTCAGGCCAACCTGCCATAGGCGAGCCCTGGCACGCAGCCGGAGCACTGGGAGCCTTGCAGAGATTCAGGCCTGCCGCCGTCCATGATGTTCGCGTCACCGGGGCTCTGCACTGGAGCGGCGGGCATGGCCAGCACGGGGTCACACACAGTCGGGGCGTTGACCTAAGGAACGATAAATAAGGAACGGGGCCCCCTTTTCCCATAGGGTAAGCTCCGATTTCCCATGGAAAACCTCAGGAAAACCCAAGGAGCACTGCAAAGCAACTAAGGAACTCGGAGCCCCTCCCCAACAAAAAGGGTTCTTTCTTCAGGGCCCCGACTGTACCCCAGGTGGGTCACGGGGCCAACGCGGGGTCACATCAGCCCCGTTGGGCTCCCGAGAGCTCCCCCCGAGGGCCCCTCAGGGGGGTCACACAGCATGCCCGCCAACACTGGCGTGTGGGCGCCGCAAGTTGGCAACGCTACAAAATGGACGCGGCCAACTATACAGGCAACCCGTATACTAAGGATGGGCAACCTTCCCAAGGGTACCCTTGCATCCTTGCCTTCTCAGTCCATCCTTGGCCGCTTTCGTTGGCTGCGCCCCGCTCGCACAGTGTCAACATGGCCCTCCAAGGCTCTTGCACCCTTATCGTGTATCCTTACTACACCAGAGAAAAAACTCCACTCAGTGGATGGTTTGATGAGATCGATGGTGAGATTGATTGAGTGAAATGAAAAGTGAAATCGATCATGAGATCGATAAAGAGATCGATACATAAGGAGATCGACCGGGAACCCAGGAACCCGGAACCCACCGCAACCGGCCCGGAACCAATAACCAGCTAGGAACACGGGAACATGGAACCGGGAGCCCGGGAACCCAGCTGGCCACCCAGATCGGCGGGAAACGTTCGCCTATGATCTTCCAGTCTCCGCTGGGACCCCTGCAGTGCAAGCACGGACTGGGGAATGATATACGGGTTGACTGCAGATCTGGGCCAGGCGCCTGTAGAACACCATGGCCGTCCACCGGACGTCCCCGGAGGCGCCGCAGAGCCCGCACAGCTCCGGCAACTTCTGCGCCTCGGGGCCGCGGGGCCGCCGAGCGGGCGCACCGCGGGCGGTGCGCCGCGGCCGCCGCCAGCGGGACGGGGGCTGCCGCCACGAGGGGGTGGCCCCGAAAGTCGACCCGCGACGTCCTCTTTTTGTTTCTTTCTTTTTTTTGGGTTCCTCCTCCTCCTCCTCCTCCTCATCCTCCCTGCCTGTTGCTTCCTCACCACTTCCTCCTCCCTCCTTTTCGTCCTGCTCCTCATCCTCTTCCTCCCCCTCCTCCTCCTCCTCCTCCTCCTCCTCCTCCTCCTCCTCCTCCTCCTCTCTCTCATCCTCCTCGTCCTCCTCCTCCTCCTCCTCCTCCTCCTCCTCCTCTCGCCATGTCGTCATTCTTCTCCTCCTCCTCCTCTCCTCCTCCTCCTCCTCCTCCTGTTCCTTCTCCTCCGCCTCCTCCTCCTCCGCATAGCTCCTCATGCTCCTCCTCTTGCCCTTCCTCTCCTCCTCATGCTCCTCCCTCCTCTCCTCCTCCTCCTCCTCCTCTCTCCTCCTCCTCCTCCTCCTCCTCCTGCTCATATTCCTCCTCCTCCTCCTCCTCCTCCTCCTCCTCCTCCTCCTCCTAATCTGCCTCCTCTTCCTCCTCCTCCTCCTCCTCCTCCTCCGGCTCCTCCGGCTCCTCCTCCTCTTCCTCCTCCTCCTCCTCCTCCTCCTGGTGAAATCCCGAAGCCTTGAAATCCTGAAGGCAGCGAAATCGTCCGACGCTTCCCTTCCCTCCCCTCCCCAGGGCCGGTCGGCCCTGGGGGGGGGGGTCCAACTAACAAGCCAGGCGACGCCTGGGGCGGTCGCCACAGGGGCCACCGGCTGGCAGGTCGAGTGGTAGAGTAAAGAAGGGAGCCCGATGACAACAACTGCGATGACTGAGGTGGCGATGAGATGACGACATTTCACGACGACCCTCGTGGTGAGAATGAATACTGGTGGTATTTAATGAACACGACCCGGCCGCGATGGAGCTCATACCATAAAATGCGACCTCGCATTGGACTCCAATCGACTGATCTCGCTACCGGTTTCACAATCAATCTCATTATCGATCACACTAGCGATCTCACCAGCGATCTCACTATCGATCTCAATATCGATCTCAATATCGATCTCACAATAGATCTCACTATCGACTTAACGAGACACCATCGGGACACCACAATGAGCCATCCCCAGCCACGGCGGGGCCCCCCCAGCCAAACATCAGTTGTGATCGATGTCGCTACCGACCTCTCGATCTCACGATCAATCCCATGATCACGATCGCTCACGCAATCGATCTCACTATGGGTCTCCTCCCGAGCTACCATCGAAACGCCACGGCGGGACGCCTGGAGCCACCAACGGGACACCCCGAACCACCGACGGGGCACCCCGCGCTACCGACGGGGCCCCCCCGCGTCATCGACGAGGCACCCGACGGGACACCGACGGAACATCGACGTGCCACCGACGGGATACCCCCGGACACCGCGCGCTGGGGGGCGGGGGCGGAAAAACCGGCCCCGCAGCCCCTAGCCACGCCGGCGTCATTCCTCTCGCGCGCCGACGAAGCTTCGCCTAGCCTGCACGCACGACACGAACACGAAACCGAAACCGAAACCGATTTTCCGGTGGGGGGTTCCCCGTTCCACTGCGATCTCACCCCCCTGCCTCCCACCGTGCTCGAGCCCTTGGGGGCGAACCCACCCGCACTCACGAGCTTGACCCCTCCTCCCGAGGCACCCTCCGTCAACTTGGCCGCGCGGGGCCACTAGCCCAGTCCGCTCTGGCGCCCAGGCAACTTGCAGAGACAGTGGAAACAGAGAAGCCCACTGGGAAACAAAGAAAATAGCAGTCACCTTGGGGACCTCTCGGAGCCTCTGGGAGGCCTCTCGGAGCCATCTTCTCGGAGCTGCCTTCGAATACCCCTTGGGGCCACCGTGCAGGGAGTCCCGCGCCGAGGCCTCCTCCCGAGAAGGGTGGCTGCCAGGGCCGCAGCTAACCCCTCCGAGCAGCCTGAGCTTGGCATGGTGGGTTTGTTTTCCACCGCCACCACCACGAGACCATAAGTAGGAGGGGGAGGGGTCCTCCTCCTCCTTCTCCTCCTCCTCCTCCTCCTTTACTTCCTCCTCCTCATCCTCATCCTCCACCTCCTTTACTTCCTTATCCTCCTTCTCCTCCTCCTCCACCTTATTTCCTCCTCCTCCTCCTCATCCTGCTTCTCCTTCTCCTCATCCTCCTTTACTTCCTCCTCCTTATCCTCCACCTCCTTCCCCCCTCCAACTTCGGGTGGTGGTGGTGGAGAACAGGCCCGTCATGGCACGGCGCTGTGCTTGTCGCGATCCTCGGGCCCAGCCCCCCTCTGTCGTTCGACTGCCTTCCTCTCTTATCCCCCCCTTCTCCGTCCTCTCCTCCTCCTCCTCCTCCTCCTCCTCCTCCTCCTCCTCCTCCTCCTCCTCCTCCTCCATCCTCTTCTCCTCCTCCGTCTCCTCCGGGGGGGGGCACCTCGAGAACGCTGGCAGCGCTTCTACATACTAGACCTGATGGCACCAGATGGATCCGCGCACGCGCCCCCTTGGAGGACACGGAAATGATGACCAGAACAGAGACTGAACGCGAAAACGTCGGTGGCCATCTTGGTCATCAACAACTCATGAATCATGCTCGCGAGTTGGCGGCTTGGCATGGACCATAACAAAGATCGGCGTCGACAAGAGCCGCGAAATATCTGTCATGGTAAAGGGCATCGTGCTTCCTCCCTCGACTCCTCGCCTGGAAATGAGAGCCTCCTCTCGCACGTTGGCTTGGCAACACCGGCGCCGAGGTGAAGGGCGCTGGGCCCGGCGCGTAGAATGAGGCCAAGCTCCCGGCCTCCTCCAAGCACAGTGGCCTGCGTCGCGGGGTAAAAGGGAGGGGGGGTAGCGCAAGGGTGCCAGGCGGCCCCCGAGGCTACTAAGAGCTAGGGGAAAACATATCGACACCGCTGCCCGTCCCCCGTTGCCACGGCTGGATTCGCCTCGAAATCCTGGTCAAAACGCACCCCCAGGAGAGTTCCGTGGAGCGTCGGCATCGGAAGCTCTGAGCCCCCCCAAAAAGGGGCCTTCAAAACGGCTCCAAGGACCCAGAATGCGCGCGCGCGCCACTGCCAGACCGCTGGACCCCCCCCCCTACTAGATACACCCCAAATTCCACAGAAACGCCCCAGAGGCTCCCCAAGAGGCACCCGTGAGGCCTCCAAAAATAGAAGCCTCATACATGTAATCCGAATAGACGGGTTGGGGGTATCGCGCCGCATCGCCGATACATCGCCGATGCATTCGCGATGCATCGGCGATGTAATGGCGACGTCCGCGATGCACTGGCGACGCCGCGAAAAACATCTGGTTCCACTTCGAGCCGCATCGCCAATGCATCGGCGATACGGCGCAACCCTCCGACCTCATCTACCCCGACCCCATCTGGAAGGCTTCGAAAAAAAAGAGGATCTGAAGATGTTCCCGGAAAGCCCCCAGTAGGCCCCGCATATTTCCTGAGGGAAACCCCAAGGGGCCCACATCCAGAAACCGCGATACCCCCGACCAAGTTCCCGCTGCATCTGGCGCACAGAATCTGGTGACTGTGGCGGTATGGGCAGATGGCCACAACTTACCCAGAATGTTGTACCCAGGGGGATGGGTGCCGCTTTCGGTCTGCGATTCGCTTTTCACCGGAACACCGCGAGTGGAAACCTGCGTGGATGTGTGGAGCCGCACGCGTGTGAGGGCGGCCTTCACGAGACCTCGGCCGCCTAACTTCGCACACCGCGCACCGGCGATCATCGCCGCACCCTCGCGCCCGCGCGCCGCCCCGAGGGAGAGGGGCAGCCGCTCTGGCCCAGACCGCAACGCGCGGGGCGCCATCATCATCGCGCCTCCGCGGGCGACTTGGACATATGTTTGTCTCGTCCTGGGGGATAACACGTGTTACCCTGGGGGGAAGGGGGGGGGGGCGGGGGCAACAGCAACGGAGGCCGCGGCGCGCGCCCCCGGAGGCGCGCCGCCTACGAGGCGCGCCGCCTACGACGTCGTCGTCGTCGTCGTCGTCGTCGTCGTCGTCGTCGTCGTCGTCGAAGCCTACAGCGCCAGAGCACACAACACGGGCCGGTACACCACATTGCCTGTTGTGCGCCAGGGCTCCTTCAGAAATGGTTTGTGTGTGTGCACCACAGCGACTCCACACACTATAACAACTGTGTACACCACAGCGCCTTTGTACATCACACTGTTTGTGCACACCACGGCGCCCGCATGCGCCACAGCTGCTGTTTCAGCACCCCGCCTGTGTACGCCATAGCGACTGCGCACATCATGGGAAATGCGCACACCACAACGCCCGTGACCACCACGCGGGTGGGGGCGCGCGGACCAGCGTCAGCCGAGGGAATACACGCAGGAGGAGCAGGAGGAACAGCAGCACCAGCAGGAGGAGCAGGAGGAGTAAAAGCAACCCCGCGATGGGATCGACAGTTCGGGGCCCGCGCTCTTTTTCCAAGAGCACTGCCAAGATGCACATAATCATCTCAGAGAAGCTCGTTGCGAGAATCCGTGCACGAGCCCGCCAACGGATCTGCGTGATGCACAACGCACAGCCTGCGCACTCCTATCTTCTTAGTATTATTCCTCCTCCTCATCATCATCGTCATCATTATCACTACCATCATCAGCATCAGCATTATCAATGTCCGCGTCCTTTATGCGCAAGGAGGACGACGACGAGGGGGGCGAAAACGAAGATGAAGGAGGAGAAAGAAGTAGGAACAGATGGGTGGGTACATTTTGACCCACAACGCACGTGAACATCGTAGTGACTTTGCACACTATAGCGATTGTATACATCACGGCGCCTGTGTACACAACAGGGCTTGTGATGTGTACACCACAATGCTTGCGTACACCGACTATGCCTGTGTACACCACAGCTGCTGCTGCAACGACAGATGTGTGCGCGCAACATCGCCCGTGTACACCGCAGCGCCTGCGTACACCATAATGCATGCCCGCGTGCACCGCGGCACTGGGAGTGCCTACGTACACCACAGGTCCCTGGCTGCCCAGGATCGCGCACTGGACCAGGCCGGGGCCTTACCGTTACGGGCGGGGGGTGGCAGGGTTGGGGGGTACGTGACACGTTATATACAACAAATGGTCTCCTGGAGAACAAAATGCGAGTCTACAGCTCGCTTTAGCTGAGGTCCCAGAGCCTGCTGCGGGCCGCATCGGGGGCCAGACGGCCCACGCCTTTTGGCTTGGCCCGGGGGTGAACGAGTCCGGAGAGGGGCGAGAGAGGGAGCGGAGAGAGGGGATGAGGGCGGAGGGGGGGGGGGAGAAGAGACAGGAGCTGAGAGGAGGGATGAGGGGGGGAGACAGGGGAGGAGTGGGTAGAGGAGATTGGGGTGGGGGAGGGGGAAGGGAGGAGCAAGGAGGGGGCACAGGGAGAGGAGGGGGCAAACGGCGGCCACAGCGAGGGAAAGGAGACAGCAGGGCAACGGAGTGGAGGGCACGCCAGGGCGCTAAACGTGGCTACGGTCACGGCGCTTGCCGAAGAATGAGCAGCGGAATGGGCGCACCTGCCCCTCCCAGGCACCCGCCAGATCGATGTACCTACCCCGGTCGCGCCGACGCCCTGAGGGGCAGAGGAGAGGGAACGTTCTGAGACATTGCTCCTGCGGGCACGCCCGGATACGGACGGAAACTTTTGCACAGCGTGTCGCGCAGGCGGCCCGTCACGACACGATAGCGTGTCGCTCCGCTCCGCGGGGCGGGAAGCTCGGAAAGGCTCGGAACGTTTACGCCTGGCGACCGGGAAGCGGATGAGGAGCGTGTCGCGCCGAAGCGTGGCGGGCCAGAACCGGCAAAGCGACACGCTGCCCAAAAGCTCCGGACCTCACACGGAGGGACCCTCCGAAGGTCATCGCCTGGGAAAGCACGCGCCACGCTGGGGAGCGCCATTGCCAAATCGAGAAAAAAGCCCTGCTCGGCCTGCCACGGGGGCAAGACGCGTGGAGGGAGGCGAGGAGGCCAGGGGAGAGGCTGCCGCGGCTGCAGGCACGGCCTGGACGTCCGAGGTCTTGACTTGTTCGATACTGGGTCGCCGGAAAATTACCCCGACCCGTTCCCCGAGTCGCTAGTTACTTGACGGCCCCGAGGCCCGGCAAGGGCCCCGGAGAAAAATCTCCCATCGCGCGACCCTTTCGCGACGCGAACACGTCTGGGGGGGCGACGGCTGCAAGCGGCTTCTGCGTCAAAACGCAAGCCTCAGGCAGCCGTTCGGGACGATTCGGGCACACCAGGAAACTCTCGACGAGGCGCATCTGCCAGAAAGCATCCCGAGGCAAGAAAACCTCCAAGAGCAACCGAACTCCTCCTCCAACAGCCAACGGACACGTCCTCACTCCCTCTTCGACTTGATTCTCCCCCCGCCGGTCATCACGTCTTTTGGCACCGACCCGTGCGTCGAACTGCCTGTTTAAAGGGAAATTAGGACACACAAATAAATACACACAAATAAAAATAGGCCCCATATTTTCTCATATTTTCTGGGTTTTTGTCTTCCCCCCCAATTCCCATATTTTCCCATATCTTCCTGGGAATCGACGATTAATTGTGTCTGTGTGTTTTTTCCCCTCCAGATCAGGGGCACCGAAGCGCGCGCTTCCCTTCGACGTCCGCCGCGACCGCCGGGCCCGCGCTGCTGGCCCTGCCCGGGCCCGAAGCAAGCGCGGGGGCGTGCGGTGAGCTCGAAATCCCCGAAAACCGCACCGCGCGGTCTGTCACCGCACGGTCTGGGAGGAGGAGGAGGAGGAGGAGGAGGAGGAGGAGGAGGAGGAGGAGGAGGAGGAGGAGGAGGAGGAAGAGGAGGAGGAGGAGGAGGGGGGGGAGGAGGAGGGACCTCGAAGCGCCCGATCATGTCCTGCAGTTTTCTGGAACTGCTCGAGGCCCGGTGTGGTCTCCACCTGCAGCGCCTCTTCGAGAGCGTTCTGGGGTCTCCGGGGTCGTCCCGAATCGCCGCCGGAGGGTCGAGCTACGACCCGGAAGCCGTGTGGTGACGGACCGCGTGGTGAGCTCGGGATGTCGGTTTGCCCGCTGCTGTGTCAAGCGTGTCTGTTTGAAGCTTCGCTGGGTGTCGGTTCGCCCGCTGCTGTGTCAAGCGTGTCTGCTGTGTCAAGCGTGTCTGTTTGAAGCTTCGCTGGGTGTCGGTTCGCCCGCTGCTGTGTCAAGCGTGTCGGTTTGCCCGCTCCCCAGCACCAGCAACCTCACCGCGCGGCCCGTCGCCGCATGTCCTCGGGACCTCGGCGGCCCCAGTCGCACGAGACGTCCTCGGAGAACGACCCTCGTCCCCCAGAACACCGTGCGGCCAAACCGAAGACCCACTGACGCACCACACGGTGTGTGTGTGTGTGCGTGCTGCGGGATCCAAAGCGATCTCCGAAGGCCTGGCCACGTCCCCGCGCTTAGTGCTGCCACTGACTACGCCTCGTGGCCGCCCGCGCGCGAGGCCGCTTCCGCCAAATGTGTGTGTGTGTGTGTGGGCAGTGTGTTGGAAGCCCTGTCACTGCGCGCGGAGCCGCGACGTCGAAAGTGTGTGTGTGTGTCTGTATGTGTGTGTGTGTGTGTGTGTCTGTGTGTCTGTATATGTATGCGTGTGTGTGTGTGTGTGTGTGTGTGCGTGCGTGCGTGCGTGCGTGCGTGCGTGCGTGCGTGCGTGCGTGCGTGCGTGCGTGCGTGCGTGCGTGCGTGCGTGCGTGCGTGCGTGCGTGTGTGCGTGTGCGCGTGCGCGCGTCCGTGCACGTGCGTGTGGTCACCTCACCGCCTGGAGGCCGCTGGCCACCGCGCCTCCCTGGGACCCACCCGCTCCGAGTGGGCGGCGGCTGGCCTGGCGAGCTCCCGCCCGGCGGCGCCGCCGCTGGCGGCGGCGGCCTGCTCCTCGCCGCCCGCCGCGCCTGGGCGTGCGGCGCATGGGGGGGCGGCTGCGGGCAGGCGGCCCTGCTGCGGGGCTGCCGGGGCTGAGGAGTGGTGTGCCTCAAAGCTTCCGCCGCCAGCTCAGTGGGAACATACCAATCCGATCCAATCCCGTCCTCCCTCCTCGGTCTCCCCCCCCCAACACCCTCCGTTCGGACTCGAGGACGGGGCGGGGTCAGCCGGCATCGGATCGGGACATCGGATCGAGTCGAAGCGGAAGCAGGACCGGGCCGCCTCGGCATGGGGGTCGGAACGGAGTCGGCTCGGCCGCGCCAGGACGCGCAGCAGCGCCGTGCAGGCGTCAGGCCGAGAGGGATCGAGCGGAAAGAATCGAGTCGGATCCGGCTGGTCGGAATCTGTATCGAATCGGATCGATCGAATCGAAATGGACCCTGTGGGGCGGGGTGGGGCTGGCAGGGGGGTCGGAACGCGGAAGGTGGAGGGCGGAACGGGGGGCGGCGAGCGAAGGCTGGAGCGGGGAAGGGCGGGGGGAACACGTCGGATGGGGGAGGGGGGACGGGGAGGGTGAGTTTTTTTTCTCGACGGGGTGCGTCTGTCTCTCTCGTTCTTTCTTTCTTTCACTCTCTCTCCCTCTCGTTCCATTTCTCTCCCACTCTCCCTCTTCTCCCTCTCTGATATATACGAAGTGTGTGGGCTCGTTATCAGTCTTTCCTTTTTCTGTCTCGTCCTCTTTCTGACCCGCCCTCTTCCAGCCTCGGTTCCACCTGTTTAACCATACATGTATGTGTCTGTATGCATATATATATATATATCTATCTATATCTATATACATAGATGCGTACGCAGACATACGTGCGTGGATAAATACATGTAAACCGTACTTATGCCGTGAAGCTGAAAGTGTGACCCAGCGTGGCTCCAAACAGTGTGCCTCTACCCGTATAAGTTGTGCAATCCACGTGAAATCACTATTTGGTGTTGCCCTCGTGGTACAACATATGATGTGCGAAATACGTTGTGCAATCTTTGTGGGGCCACCTACGTGGTGCACTTTGCGAGGTGCAGAATACGTGGTGCACTCTGTGATGCGCAACCTCTGTTGTGAAGTCTATGTGGTGCAAAGTATGTGGTGCAATTGACTGTGACTTCCTCGCGAGCGACCATTTCTCATGCCCGCACAAACATCTCACCCACCCACGCGCTCCTTGGCTTGCAAAACCCATGCGGCGGCGATTGCGTTTGCTGTTTGGCGTTGGCTGGTACGTCGCTGCGGCCGCGCTAGTGCGCGCAAGCTCGCGCGAAGAGCGGCCACCTAGTGTGGCGGAACCGACGCGGCCGCGGTGGCGCTGACCGCTGGCAACTCCCCAACGCGTCCCGCAGGCCGCGCTGACGCACGGGCACCTCACTGCGAGTCAGTGATTCGGGCAGGCGCGGTATCATGGCGACGCCGGCAACGGCAGACACGATGATGATAGTACTGATGTTGGTAACGATGACGACGGCAAGGCCAATGACGACGCCGATGCCGATCACGCCGATGAGGGTGATGGTATCCGCGCGTCGGTGATGAAGGTTTTGGATCTCGACATTCGCGCGCGGCCGACGAGTGCGGGTGGCCCGCATGGTATGTTTCAGAAGGGGTCGACCACCCCCATCACGCGCGCCAAATCGTTCGAACGATTTCGGCACGCGCGCGCGAGAGGTCCGATTGGTAGCATATGATGAGATGTCGAACCTACAGTTCTCATACAAATGTGCAAGAGCGCGCATATTTTTCTTCTCAACACGAATGTCGAAAAACCGCGCTTCACACATGTTCCGCACAGTCGATCTTGAGACCCTTGCGAAGCCGACAGTTATGTTTTAGCCAAAACATGAGAAAAAAAAAGATGTTGGCATGCGCGCGCGCGACGACGCGCGCGTGCGCCTTCCGCTCTATTATTGCATGGGCTCTTGAGAACTGCTGATGCTTGGTCGACGAATGCGCGCACATAGCGTTTTTTTCCGAAAGATGGTGCGGGGGAGGGGGGGACGATAGAGGTTGGGCTGGGATAGTATGATTTCATATTTGGAAGAAGCGATGGGGAAGCATCGCATGACATTGAGCATCCCCAAGGCGGGAGGATATTCCCAGAGGGAGGGGGTAGACACTGAGTCCTTTTCTACAAGAGAGAACCTACGTGGTGCAATTGGTTTTTACAAATGAGTTGGCAAATCCCGTGCTCTTGCAAACATCCCACCCACCCACCCGCAACTTGTATTGCAAAACTTCATAAGACCGTGACGGTATGTACCACATGGCACTTGGCAACGATACCGACGCCGACGACGACAGCGACGACGACGACGCCGACGACGACGACTGACACCGACGACGTCTACGACTACTTCGACGACGACGACGCCGACGTCGACGACGACGAAGACGACGACGCCGACGACGACGAAGACGACGACGTCGCCAACGAAGACGACGACGAGGGAGGAGGGAGGCCGACGACGGCGACAACGACGACAACGACGAGGGAGGAGGGAGGACGGCGACGACGCGAGCGACGAAGAAGGGGGAAGGACGGGGACGCTGACGACGACAACGGCGAGGGAGGAGGGAAGACGACAACGACGAGGACGACGACGACGGCGACAAAATAGGAGGGACGACGACGAGACGCCAAAGCGGACGACGACGACGACGAGGGAGGAAGAGCAAGGATGACCACGGCGACAACGACGACGGAAACGACCACGACGCCAAAGAGGACGACGACGACGAACACGAGGAAAGACAGAGGACGACGTAGGCGACGACGACGACGACGCATGAGGGGGGAGGGCGGCGACGACGACGACGACGCAAAAGAGCGCGCGCACGCTTTTGTTGACAATCCGTGTTGCGAAACCTTGTGTTTTTGTAAGTTTTTTGGACACACGATTTTGACATCCTTCCGGAACCGATGGGTTTTGAAAGATTTCAACGTACGCGCGCGACGACGCGCGCGTCTGCACTTCGTCCCATTTGTTGCAAAGGATTCTCGCGACGGCACACGCGCAAGAGCGTTCGACAGATCTCGACATGCGCGCGCGCGAAGCCCGTTTGGTAGCAATTTGTGAGAATCGTTGAAAGAACCTATGGATGTCTCAAGATTTCGCAGGAGCTCGCGCGTAAGCTTTTTTAGCAAATCAGCGTCGCGAAACCATGTGTTTCTGTATGTTTTTTGGAAACTCGATTGCGGAATCTTTCCGGCACCGAAGGTTTTCGAAGGATTTCGGCATGCGCGCGCGACGACGCGGGCGTGCGCACGTCGTCCCATTTTGTGCAAGGGATTCGTGAACAAGTGCTATGTTAGAACAAAAGATGTCCCCGCGTATCGTTTTTTTGTTTACAAGGGAACCTCAGAGGGGGCCGATCCCGGCCCCCTCGGGGATAGTGACAATTCATATTTTGGATGGACATGTGGTCAGACTCATATATGATTTACATGCCCGAAAAGGCGGCGGATAACGCCGGGGGGGTAGAGTCTATTCTGTTTTTAGAAAGGAGAATGAAATTTATGTTCGCAAGGCCTTATAAACTCCATTGCTCGCGCAATCATCCCACCCGCCAGCCGGCAACTGCGCTCGCAGAACCCATGCGGCGGTGATTGCGATGAGCGCTCGGCGTTGGCTGGTGCGTCTCTGCGGCCGCGTTGGCCCCCGCGTGCTCGCGCGCGCAGCGGCCGGCTAAAGTAGCGCGACCGACGCGGCCGCGGCGCGTCTCGCAGGCCGCGCTGGCGCGCGGGCGCTTCAGTGCGAGCCGGTGGCTTGGGCGGACGCGAGATCGTCGCGACGTCGACAGCGGTCGACGCGATGATGATAGTAGCGTTGATGGCGACGATGACGACGGCAAGGCCAATGACGGCGCCGATGCAGATCACGCCGATGACGATGACGGTGCCCTCGCGTCGGCGATGGAGGTTTCGGAACAATTTCGGCACGCGCGCGCGGCTGACGCGCGCGAGTGGCCCGCATATTACGATTTGACAGGGATCATGTCCCGCCCCACCCAGCGCTGGCAAGGGCGTTCGAATGACTTCGACGCGCGCGCGCGAGAGGCCCGTTTGGTCGAATTGCAAGGAACACGCAGTTCAGAAAAACCACTGGTTTTCGTCAGAATTCGCAAGGCCGCGCGCAGAACTTGCTTCGGAAACAAGGGTTGCGAAACCATTTTTTCTCTATGTTCCGGGGCACTCGGTTTGACATCCGAACAAAACCGACGGTTTTTGGCGGATTCTGGCAGGCGCGCGCGACGACGCGCGCGCTCGCGCACTGTGCCGTTTTTTTGTGCTAGAGGGTCTCGAAAACTTTAGATTTTGGATGCGCGGGCGCGCGCGCGTGATTTCTGTTGTCGAAGGTGGCGAGGGAACCGGGAGCCACGCCGCCTGGGCTCGGGTGGTATGGATTCATAGTTAAGATAGACAAGGGGGCCAGATATTGTGCAAATCGCCATGCGAAATGGCGGGCTGATAATCCCGTGGCGGATGGTTGATCCTGACTTGCTTGAAAGTGGCATGGGTTCTGCGCGAGCGATGTTGTGCAATACATGTTGCGCGACCTCCGTGGCGCAATCTCTGCGGCGCGACCCAAGTTGTGCAATCGAGGTACTGCGAGATCTGTTGTGCGAGCGATGTGGCGCAATCGGTGCTGTGCAATCGATTCGGTGCCAACTACGCGGTTCAGTCCGCGCGGCGCGGCGCAGTGATGCGACGCCGCGACGGGGCGGCGACGACGAGGCGGCGCCGGCGGCTGGAGAGCGGCCAGACTGGCCGTCAAGCCACGACGGCGACGCCGGCGACATCGCCGCCAGACCCGGCGCCAGGCCCAGACGACGGACGGCGGCGGGGCGGCGACGGCGGCGACCGACAGTGCCGCCAGACGGGCCGCCAGGCCCAGTTCTTTAGAACAGAAATAGGAACCCCTTACTTGCATGCAGCGTTTGGGGAAGATGCCCTTTGCCATTTTCTCTCTCTCTCTCTCTCTCCCTCGCCCCCGTCCATTTCCTGCTCTGCCCCGCCAAGAGGAACAACCAGCGCTGACCTAAACAGGTTCAGAGAAGCGTCTCCCCCGAAGCCTGCAAGCGCGAAGCGTCACAACCGAACAGACAAGGAAAATCGACGCATGCAGTGAATGGGGGCAAGGGGAACATACATCTCGAGCATAGGAATGCCCGCCCGCGCGCAAGTGCAATTTTCCAATTCGGGCGCACAGCTGGGCAGCAGGGGGCATTCTCGCAGACGCGAAGGCCGCGATCACAGCAAGAAAACTCAAGACTATCGCAGGTCCAACGTTGGGTGCCACGCGTGGCCAGGCGCACTTCGCTTAGGCAAGCGCGGGTGTGCACGTAGATGCATCTCTCTCTCTCTCTCTCTCTCTCTATATATATATATATATCCCTTTCTCTCTGCATCTAGTTCTCTCTTTCTCTCTCTCTCTCTCTTTTTTCTCTCTCTCTCTCTCTCTCTCTCCTCTCTCTCTCTCTCGTTATCTCTCTCTCTCTCTCTCTCTCCTTCTCTCTCACTCTACTATTATCCCTCTCTCTCTCTCTCCTCTCTCTCTCTCTCTCTCTCCCTCTCCCTCTCTCTCTCTCTCTCTTTCACGATCCCTCTCTCTCTCTCCCTCTCTCTCTCTCTCTTTTTCTCTCTTTCTTTATTTCTCTCTCTCTCTCTCTCTCGCTCAAGATGTATTTATGTGCACTAGAACCACGCGCGCAGCGCGCTTCGGTTCTAGCGCGGGCCAGGGCGCCTTCATGCCACATTGGCTTAACGTCCCGACGCTCCAGTTCGAACGTTGCGGGGTCGTCGGCAGCAATGGCCGTCGACGCCGACGCAAGCGACGACGGCGACGACGACGAGGGCGTCCACGTCCTCCTCGCCCCCTCTCTCCCCCTCCCTCCTCGTCCTCCTCGCCCTCCTCGCCCTCCTCGCCCTCGCCCTCCTCGCCCCCTCTCTCCCCCCCTCCCTCCTCGTCCTCCTCGCCCTCCTCGTCCTCCTCGCCCTCGCCCTCCTCGTCCTCCTCGCCCTCGCCCTCCTCCCCCCCTCCCTCCCCCCTCGCCCTCCTCGCCCCCTCCCTCCCCGTCCTCCTCGCCCTCGCCCTCCTCGCCCCCTCCCTCCCCCTCCCTCCTCGTCCCCACCCCCTCCTCGTCCTCCTCCCTCCTCGCCCTCCTCGCCCCCTGCGCCCGCCCGCGGCGCGGAGAGGCGCGCGCGAGGGCCAGACCTGGCCAGACGGCCCTTTCTGAGCGAACGGCCCCCCCCCTTTCCGAGGCGTGGAGCAACTCAATGGAACTCCCCGCGCACTGCTCAGCGCTCATTAATTAGGGCGACGAGATCTATACATATCCGCTGCTCCTGGCCAGGCCCATCCTGGGCCCAGGAGCTGTGTATATATGCCTCCCTGGCCAGGCCAGGAGGGCGTACACACCGCTCCTGGGCCCAGGATGGGCCTGGCCAGGCGCAGTGGATATGTACAGATCTCGTCGCCGTATCATTGCTCCTCCCCTGCCTGCGGCGCGCGTCAGCGGTTCCCGAAGCGCCCTCTGGAGGGCCCCGGGGAGGTTGCGGGCGCGCGGGCTCTGCGGGCATTTCGGGGAGGCCCAGGGGGGCACGATTGCAGGAGGTCTTGGGTCAGCATGCGCCCTCTCTCAGAGGATCTCGGGGCTCGCAAAAAACCTCCGAGACGGGCTGAGTGCCCCGAGAGGCCTGAAGACGGCCACGAATCGCAGAACGAGCGGTTGAAGACGCCAAAACTGGTCGCTGGGCGAAATGTGTTCCGGCAGTCACGTCCTGGATCGTTCCGACTGCCGCCGTCGTAGGGGCGGCGGCTCTGATCAGATTTCCATCGCCAGATCAATGCCTGCGGAGTTAAGGCACTCGAATACGCCAGAATGTTTTCACCGCCTGTGGTGCCATCAAGAGCGGAGGCAATGCGCGCTGCTGGTCCGATGTGAAAAAAGAAACGCAATGCTTCCACCTCGCAAACACACTGCCCGCGAAGGGGGAGACTCGCGCCCGCCCGAGAAAGTTGGCCGCTGCACCTGGCGCCGCAAAATTTGACGGCAAGCCGCGGTGCTGACCCGATCAACAAAAATATCGCCGCGTTCCCACGTCGCAATATCTTCGCCTGCGAAGGGGGGCCATTCGGGCGCGCCTGCATCGGATCTCTGGTGACATCCCCTCGGGCTCCGCAGCAGTGAAACTGCGGACGCGGGCGACTCTCGCGCTGTGCTCCCGCGGGGCTGGGCGAACGACGTTGGCGGTCCGATCTAAAAACGAAGCGTCATGCTTCCACTCGGCGAGCAGATTGCCTGCGGAGGGGAAGACTTACAAACGCCCGAGAAGTTTGTCGCTGCACCGGGCGCCGCGAATTTGATGGCAAGCCCCGGCGCTGACTGGACCCGAAAGTATCGTCGTGCTACCCCCGTCGCCGTATCTTTGCCTGCGAAGGGGAATGTCACGGCTCGCCTGCATGAGGCCCCTATCGAAATCCCGCGGGCCCCGCGAAAGTAAAAGTGCCGCCGCGGGCGATTCTCACGCCGCGCCCCCGCGGGATCGGGCGAACCGCCTGGCAGGTCCTTTCTCAAAAGCGAGCGCCATGCTTCCACTTCGCAAACACATTGCCTGCGAAGGGGGCGCTCGCATACGTCGGAGAAAGTGCGTCACTGCACATGGCGCCTCCAAGCTGACAGCAAGCCGCGGTGCTGATCCGGCCCAAGAGTCTCGTCGCGCTCCCTCATCGCAGTATCTTTGGCTGCGACGGGGAACAGTCGGGCACTCCTGATTAGGATCTCTCTTGAAACCCCTCGGGTCGAGCGATAATAGAAGCGGCGCGTCGACGGGGGCGGGCGCGCCCGGCAGGTCTGCTGGCGGCGCGGGCCGGCGGGCGCTACTCGGCCACGGGCGCCGAAAAACAGCAGCGGCAGCAGAAAACGAAGGCCGGAGGTGCGCGGCCCTGGGCTGTAGTGCCGGGCCGCGTTGGACGTGCACATGTTCAAAACGAGTATGCGCGGAGCTAGGGCGAGAACCACGTGTTGACAAAAGTGCCGCCCTCCATGCGTAAAGCTCTTGCAAACTCGGCGCGCTGAGGCGAGAACCACATTTTGAAAACGGCGCGCCCTCCATCCGTGAAACTTATGCAAAACTTTTCAAACGAAACGGCGAGGCGCTAAAGAGAGAACCAAACTTTTGATAACGACGAGCCCTGCACCCGTGAAACTGTTGTAAGGCTTCAACGTAAGAGTCATACATGGTGCGGAAGTCTCAACCGAAACGCCCGTCCCGCCCTACCGACTGTGTTCTGGGGTGCGACAGGGAGTAGTTATCTAGAGGAGGAGGAGGAGGAGGAGGAGGAGGAGGAGAAAGAGGAGGAGGGAGGGGAGGGAGGCGGAGGATCGAGAAGGGTGGAGCGGCATGTCGGCGATCGGCGGGCGGCGCGCGCCGCTCAGCGCACCCAGCGTCTCCGCGGCGCGGTCGTGCGCCTGGGCGCCCCGGGGGCGGGGAGGGTCGCGGCCCGAGGGGGGCAGGGGAGGCACCGCGGACCTTGGCAGTGCGCAGCCCTCCGCCCCCTCCCCCCCCAACGGGCGCCCTCTGTGCGCGCACGGGGATAGAGCCGCGACTGTGGCATGCATTCCGATGGCCAGGCTGCTCCCTGAACCACCGCCAGTGCATCTCTCTCTCTCTCTGTGTCTACCCTCAGCGGCCCAGTCCTGCGTTCAATACGCAAGATGAGGAGGAGGAGGAGAAGGAGGAGGACACGGAGGAGGAGGAGGAGGAGGAGGAGGAGGAGATGGAGGAGGAGGAGGAGATGGAGGAGGAGGAGGAGGAGGAGGAGATGGAGGAGGAGGAGGAGGAGGAGGAGGAGGAGGAGCTAGGGCAGAAGCGGTAGCGGCAGCAGCTGGGGGAACCTAATTATACCGATACCGCAACGCCCTGGACCTCTGCTTGGGTACGTTCTGACCAGAACTTCGAGGCGGACACAGCCGTGGCGGCGAGGGCCCTCCAGGACGAGCGGCGGCATCGGTAACAATCTTCTCCTCCTCGGGCCTCGGGGTAGTAGCAGCAGGGGACAGTAGAGGCAGCAGCAGCAGCAGCAGCAGCAGCAGGGTATCCCAGATGGGGTCCGAGTGGGTGGGGTCGGGAATCCCGACGCATCACCGATGCATCGGCGATGCGGCTCGGTGTGGAGCCACGTCTTCTCCACGCCGACGCCTCCGATGCATCGGCGATGTAGCGCGAGCCTCCGACCCCATCTCTTGTCATCGCTCGTACTTCTATTCCTGCTGCATCCTTCGGCTTCGTGCGTTTTTCTCACGATGATCCAGGATGCTCCTCGATGGTCCCCGACGGAAAAAATACACACGTCCGAGCGATGCCGAGACCTACTCGGACCCCATCCATCTTCGACTACACGCAAGGGTGACCCGAGGTTTAGGTCGGGCATGTCCCTGTACAGGCGGATTTCGGACGAGAAATGAAAATCACCCCAGTGCGACCCTACCTAGAAGTTGGAGCCCCTAGGAAAACAGCATGAGTTGCTATGCTATACCATGCTATGCTATGCCATGATATGCTGCGCTATGCTATGATATGCTATGCTATGCTATGCTATGCTGCGCTATGCTATGCTATGATATGCTAAGCTATGCTAAGCTATGCTATGTCATGCTCCGCTGTGCTATGCTATGCTCTGCTCTGCTATGCTATGCTATGCTGCGCTGTGCTATGTTGTGCTGTGCTGCGCTATGGTATGCTATGCTATGCTATGCTGCGCTATGCTATGCTATGCTGGGCTGCGCTATGATATGCTGTGCTGCGCTATGCTATGCTACGATATGCTATGCTATGCTGTGCTCCGCTATGCTAAAGCTCGGCGAAACTAAGATGAAGGTAAGCTAAGCTAAGATAAACCTGAGCTAAGATGAAACTGAGCTAAGTTATGATGAAATAAGCTAAGCTAAGATGAGAGAAGCAACGCTAAGCTAAGGGGCCGTCACTGGGGGAACCGCAGGCGGAGACTGGGGGAACCGCCCGGGGCGAGGACCACTGCCCGGCCCTTACAGCATACACGGTAAGATCCCTTCTGGGCAGAGCCTAGGTAGGGAATAACCAAAATGACACAAGTATAAGAACTCGGAGTTCCGCGCGGATTCCTCGGATCCGCGCTGGACCCCCCGGCGGCGCCTCCGGCGCGGCTCTGCCGCGCGCCGGTCGCCAGGGAGGGGGGTCCAGCGCCGATCCAGGAGGTCCGCGCGGACATCCGAGCTGTTATGTTTCTGTCGTTCTTCGCTCCCCCATCTATGACTACCTACCAGACCACCCCAACCCAACGAGAAGACCCGAATTTGAACCGAATCTCGGGTTGGGGGGGGGTACGGGTTCCATGTGTGTGTGTGTGGGTTTCGATGTTCCCCGACCCCCCCCCCACTGGAAAAAGGGGGTAAATCGTGGCCTTCGCGTTGGGTTGGGGGTGGTTGGGGGGGCGGTGAATCTAAGGACAGAGCCTGCTGCCGCGCGCGGGCCAATCCCTCGGCGCTGAAGAGCCACCCGGGCGCCGCGTCGCCCGGGCCCAGCATCCGCCCATGGCGCGGCGGGGCCCGGCGCAGCGCTCTCCGCGCGCGTGATGGCGCGGGAGGGCCGAGGGTCGCCGCGCGGGGCCTGCCGAGCGGGCGAGGCAGGCCGGGGTGGCGTGTGGAGAGATCGAACAACGCAAGGGCTCTGTCATTGAATGGTCCACATGTATGTGGCCGAGGGAATCGGCAATGTAATAATGCATTTGCGGACAAAAAAAAGTTCCAGCCAACGAATGCCGCAACGTTTCTTGGTAGATCCGTGGGTTTGGTGCTGTATGCAGTGGACCGTGCGTTCCTCAGCACCGCTCGCGCGGCGCGACAAAGTATTTCGCAGCATTGCCAGAATTTTAAGTATGCCTTGGCGCCTTATCCACTGTGCCCTGAGTATGTCCTCATCGTGTAGCAGATCAGCGCTGGTGGCGAGTTACTCGTGCACGGGCTACTTATTCTGGATACATATGGACTGGTCATGCCCAACGTATGAGGCAACCACAACCTCATGATGCTGAATAAACGTTAAAGCGTGATCCCGCCATGAATTACGGATGTCTCAGTCGAGCATGGGCCCTGGCCAACCCGTATGTGCATCACTATGTTGAACAACGATGTGCATGCGCGTTGAACCTTAGTTTCGTGTGCTGCTGATGCCTCCAGACGCCCCAACAGTGAAATGCTAATTGGCGAAGTAACATATGTTCGCATCCGGGGTTGCTTACTTGTGCGTCAACCAACAGCGCAACCAATGTGCTTCAGGTATGTCAGAGTCAGGCCGTGCATATACATTGATGTGTGAATACGCATCTGCACGCATATACCGTCGCACGTATACAGTAGGGGCCCGACCACAAGAAACCGTCCACAAGAAACATGTGGGAACGTCACGCTTTTCATTGCAAAACCATAGAAACCCAAGACACCCAGGGCACCCTGGAGGCAGGCAGGGTGTTTCTTGGCATGGGCCCCCACTGTATTGTGTTTTCGGGGCCAGGCGCGTGAGCGAGGACGCTCGTTGACTCACGGGCCACGGGCGCACGGCATCACCAACAGGACGACCAACACACAACAGCAGCACGGGAAGGCCGCACGCAGCAGCCGCGGGACACCCGCAAAGGGCACCTGCGGCCAGGGGTGTACGAGGCTCTTGCAGATTGACAACCTACCACCCCAACCCAACCCGAAGACCCGAATTCGACTCGAACTTCTGGTTGGGGTGGGTACGGGGTCCATGTGTTTTTTTCCATGTTCCCCGACTCCCCCACACTGGAGATGGAGGGCGAATTGAGGCCTTCGGGTTGGGTTGGGGTGGCGTGGTGGGTGGTGACAGATGGCTCCGGAAGCACTTCCATAGGGCGCGAGTGCACGTTCAGAAGGCGCCAGGAAGCCATGCTTCTCCAGGTTCCACTCGGTTCCGAGAAACATCCTGGGGATGGTGTGTCACCCGCCCCCCCCGGCGATTCCGGAACCACTTTGGCCATCTTTGGCCCACCTGGTTCGGCCCGCCTTTGGGGACCAACCTCGGCCAATCTCGGCGCTAGTGACATTTATCGGGTCATCTCGACGGCCCTCGGAGCTGGCCAGAGACGCCAAAAAACATTAGAATCCTTCCGGCTATCTCTGCCGCTGCGGTCGCCAGAGCGCCCTTGACGGCCCAAAGACCTCCCAAGACCGGCGGCCCAAAACGGCCCAGGAGGCCCAAGAGACCTCCAAGACGGCCTAGAGAGGGGCCCAACAAGCGCGCCACCGCCGAGCTGCTGGACCCCCCCCCCCCAAAACGTGATCCCAAGACCCCCAAGAGCCGCCCACACGCCCCCGCAGAAGCTCCCAAGAAGCTCCAGGACGCCCCCAAGTGCAGGATCAGTCAGCCTCGAACCAGAAATTCGGATCGAATCGAATCGTGCATTGGATCGGCCCGCATCTCTCGAGCGCGAAAGATACCCGTACCCTTACCTAGACAGGGTGGCAAGGGGCCAGGGGGGCGGTTCGTCGCAGCTGACGGCGGCTGCACAAGTGTAGAAACGACAGCCGGTCGAGCATTACAGACCGCTGTCTTCTCGGGGCGCACGTTAGCACCGATCGCACGTGCGTTCGAATCGGCGGAGTGCCCGACCCTGCGTTGGTTGTTGTCGATGTAGACCAGCTACTGCGGAGGCGCGCCCCCAGACACACATCCGGGCGTTGAGGAGTCAACGCGCACTCGGAAGCGCATGCGAACAACTCTGGCGCGAACGTCATTGCGCGACAACCGCCTTATCGCGAATTGCTCGATGCAGAGACATCGCGAATCTGTGCCCTGGGCGAGGTCGCCAGAGGCCGCCCCCCTTGGACGGCCGTCTGCGGATCACCCCAGCTAGGTACGGTTGCCCCATGAAAACCCCAAAACATACCCGTACCTAGCCGGGGTGCCGCAGCTCACCCCAGCTAGGTCCGGGTATGTTTCGGTGGTTTCAGGCAGGTCCCCGTACCTAGCCGAGGTGGCGGCAGGCCCAAAACGCTCTCGAGCACATATCATGCCCTCCAGAGCCGTCCCCGTCGTGGCCGCTGCGGCCCCCCTGGGGGCGCGACATTGCAACGTCGTTCCTCAGGGCAGGCCCAGACGCAATGGTTGCCAGGATAGCGAGGACATGCAACTCTTTATCGATTGGGACAGGCGCCGCCACATATGGGCGGCTGTGAACCGCGCACGCACCACGATGCCCCGAGACGTCCCTAACAAAACCAGCGCTTGTCGCTGCAATCAGACACCCAACCAATCGAGCGCGCCGTTGCGTCTTGACGCGCGGATGCTGCACTGGCGCGCGCGGGGCAAGCTGACCGGGCACAATAGCAAGCGCCCAGTCCCCCGGACGGCCCATCTCACCTTGGCTGGCCCGGGGTACGGGTATCTTTCGGACCAATGAGCATCGGCACGGAATCGAAATCGAATCGGATCGGCTGCGCCAGGATGCAGAACAACGCCATGCAAGCGTCGGGTCGCATCGGCTCGTCAGAATTTCGGAATCGGATCGGATCGAGCCAGCCGGAATCGATATCGAGACGGATAGATCAAGCCCTGAAATTCGCTCTAAGGCCCCCAAGAGGTCTCCAAGAAGCCCCCCGAGAGACGCCATGAGGCCTTCAAGGCCTATCGTACTCGACCAGGGCGCGGTGGCGTGATGGGCCGAAGGCCACTACAATTCCACCCCCGCGTGGAGCCCGCCACTGCCCCTTGGCCCTAGCCGCCAAGCTGTTCCCCTGCCAGGGTCGGCGGGACAAGCCACGAGGCCACTGCAGCACACTTGCACGCCGCTATGCTCACAAAGCGCAAGGGAATCGAGTTCCATCTCGCTCAAGGGCCCAGTCCAGCCTGGCAAACAACAGACAACGGTAATGGGAGATGACAGCCGGTAGTGCCCGCTCGGTCGAGCTCGCATGAGAAGAAGTTCGGCTTTCTCCGCAGCGACCAGGGCAGCAATCAATCAAGTAAAACACATCCACTGTCCCCAAAGGTTAAATTCAGACGAGCTGAATGCAGCGGCCCCGTCATTCTTCTGAAGGCCGACAGGGCCGACGGTGGAGCATGGGGACCCATGGCTGTTTAAGGCCAGCTCATGGGGTAAGAAATCAGAAGCGGCACGTGGCACAGAGGAAAAATAACCAGCGGGTTGGAGCTGGCGGCGTAAAGAGTCGAGCGTCTCAAGACACCCCCTGCTATGATGTGGGACTGGCGACAAAATACGAATACGATCCACAATCGGGGAGACGTAAAACTTGGGTTCTGGCGTCTCGGGTTGGCCTGGCGGGGCTATTATAAAAATGATGAGGCCCAATCTGAAATTTGACGCGACCTCCCGCTGCAAACATCCCACGAAAACCGCACCGTCAAAATCCAGGACGCGCTAGTCAAAAAACGTAGGCGAACCCGAGTTCCGGCTTACGCGAGTCATACGTTTCCTCGACTCAAGAGGGCAAGACGGTACGGCTTCGGGTTCATTCCGCGCAAACAGTACCCCTCCAGGTAGCCCCAGCTGGCCTCCACAGGCTACCCGAGTAGTCCCAACTGGCCTCAACAGGCCCCCCGAGTAGTCCTCGTCGGTCTCAACACCCCAACCCTGGGGCGCGGAGGGTCCCAGGAGCGCCGCGGAGGCGGTGTCAGGGTGCTGAGACCGCCGCGGGCTACTCGGGGGGCCTGTTGAGGCCAGCTGGTGCTCCTCGGGAGGCCTGTTGAGGCCAGGCTGGGGCTACCTGGGGTGGCTGTCTGTGCATACCCTGAGATCCGACGTCGCGGAAACACTGCAACATCGCGAAAAATCACTACCTGAGCCCAATACCCAATTCTTCTCAGCACTTTTCGAACCAGATCGACACGTGAGGCTCCTGGGGCCAGAAACAAGGCAAAATCGCCCGTCGTGAAACACTGCAGCGCGAGGATCTCGGGGTAACCCTCGAGGAACAACACATGGTAGAGACATGAACCTGCGGAGGTCTGCGCGGACCGCCGAAAGTTGATGCTTGTGCAATTGTTACAGGCCTCCCAGATGGGTCGGAGCAGATGGGGTCGGAGGATCGCGCCGCATCGCCGATACATCGGCGATACAACGGCGATGCATCGGCGATGCACCGGCGGTGCATCGTCGACGTCGGCGATGCATCGGCAACGTCGACGCGAAGCAGAAATCGGGATGCACATCGAGCCGCATCGGCGATGCATCGGCGGTGCGGCGCGATCCTCCGACCGCAGCTGCTCCGACCCCATCTAGGAGGCCTAGAATTAAGTCGGGCCTGTCCCTCGACGGGGGGAATGTTCCAAAAGTGATCAAACAGATAATCTGGGGACCATTGTTTGAGCATGTCTGGGCATCTTTGGGATATCTTTGGAGTGCTTTTCACTCTTCGTCCAAATCCCCCTGCATGGGGGACAGGCCCGACCTGAGCCTGGAACTGCTCGCTCCCCGAAGCCCGAGGTGGCTCCCGGGGGGTCCGACGGCGGCCGCCTCGGCGGACTACCTACCAGACCACCCCAACCC